GGGGCAGTGATCGGCTCTGGGCTCCCCTGGGGCGGTGGGACCGCTGCGGGGCCTTTGCTCCGAGCTCCCTGACCGCGCTCTGATTTCTCCCACTCAGATCTAGAGCCCCGCGCCCGCCCAGGCCTGGCTGTGTGACAGTCCTGGCCCCGGGCTCGGGTCAGGGCCGCCCTGGGAGCAGGTGCCCCGACATCAGCTGGGACTATAATAGGCGGTTCGTGCTGCTTCGTGCCTCGTCTGGGGTCATTATCCCCATTTAATAGATGAGGAAACCGAAGGCCTTGCCCGAGCAAGTGAGCAGTCGGGTTAGGAGGTTCACCCAAGACCCCCCTCCCCCCCCACCTGTCCAGAGTGTCTGCGCCGGAAGCACAGCTCTGGCAACGAGCAAGCACAGACCTGGGGAGGAGAGTCTGGTGTCTGTCCTGGGTCAGCTCAGACTGGGGGGCAGGCCGGTGGGGGTGGGGGACGCTTGGGAAGGGGCGATGTGGGCCCTGCCCCCAAACAGTTCAGTCAGCTGGGGGAGTCCCACCCCGCTGCTCCCCCTGGAGCTGGTGAGATGCAGGTCTCAGGCCCCCCCGTGACCCCCGCCCCAGGTGGTCGTGGTCAGCCATGTGCTCCTGTATGGCTCAGGGGCCCCATTCCCGTTTGGCGCCCAGGGATCCTGGGAAGGGCTGCTGGAGGCAGATGGATGCGGGGACAGCAGGTCAAGGGGAGGCTCAGGCTACATGCCCACCGGAGCCTCCTTGTGGCCCCTTGGCTGCGGGGAGGCAGGGGTTTCCACGGGAGCACACAGCAGCCTCTGGGGAGAGAGCAGCCCCTCGCTGGGGTGTGGCGTTGAGGGTGAGGGTGTGCTGGGGACAGATGCAAATGAGGGCTGGGACTGCTTTTCTTGGGGAATTGCCATTTGCATAGACACCTAGGTCCCTAGGGCCTGAGGGCAGCCAGAGGCTCTGGTCACAATTCCTTAAAAGCTACTGTCAGCGGAAGCTGAAGGGCGAACACACAGCGCTCACACTCTGCCATGTTATAGCTTGTCTGTGAAAGTTGTCTCCGTTTATTTGGGTCCTTTATTCCCTTTGCTGAAGTTTTACATATTTATTTTTTAAGATTTTTAAATTTTTAAATGTTTCTAAATCTTTATTTATTTTTGAGAAAGAGAGACAGAGCATGAGCAGGGGAGGAGCGGAGAGAGAGAGGGAGACACAAAATCCAAAGCAGGCTCCAGGCTCTGAGCTGTCAGCACAGAGCTCGACATGGGGCTCGAACTCACAAACCGTGAGATCATGACCTGAGCCCAACCAAGTTGGACGCATAACTGACTGAGCCACTCAGGGGCCCCTTAAAAATTTTTTTAAAGTTTATTTATTTATTTTGAGAGACGGAGAGAGCGGGGGAGAGAATTCCAAGCAGGCTCCACACTGTCAGCGCAGAGCCCGATGTGGGCCTTGAACTCACAGACCACGAGATCATGACCTGAGCTGAAGTCAGATGCTCACCTGACTGAGCCACCCAGGCGCCCCAGGCATTAAAAAAATTTTTTTTTAATGTTTATTTATTCTTGAGAGATAGAGACAGAGCAAGAGGAGGGGAGGGACAGAGAGAGGGGGAGACATAGAATTCGAAGCAGGCTCCAGGCTCCGAGCTGTCAGCACAGAGCTCGATGCAGGGCTTGAACTCACAAACCACGAGATGATGACTGGAGCCGAAGTCAGACACTTAACCGACTGAGCCACCCCGGCGCCCTGGCATTTTTTTTAAAAAATCAGAACGGGGTGTCTGGGTGGCTCAGTTGGTTAAGCATCCAGCTTTGGCTTGGGTCATGATCTCAACAGCTCATGAGTTCGAGCCCCACATAGGGCTCTGTGCTGACAGCCTGGAGCCTGGAGCTGCTTCGGATTCTGTGTCTCCCTCCCTCTCTCTCTCTCCCCCTCCCCCACTCATGTTCCGTCTCTCCTTCAAAAATTAACAAACATTTAAAAAATTTAAAAACATCAGATTCATTCCTGACTGAAAGCCTATGTCTGCAAACATGGATTTATTTGCTACCGTATTTTCTGGTTGCCTTGTTGCTATTGATTTTTGTATGTTGATCTTGTATCTGGCAGCCTTGAAACTCTGTGTTTGCAAGAGGCGATTCTCTTTGTTTTCTCCATAAACGTTCATTTCATACCTACTAGAAGTCTTCTCTCTCTGATCTTCTTGAAATGATCTCATTTTGTTTTGCGGCTTGAATATTTTGCATCGTTTATTATTTCAGCAGTCTAAATGATTTCACTGGTGACTTCTTTTTTTCCTTAATGTTTATGTTGAGAGAAAGCTCGAGCAGGGGAGGCACAGAGGGAGAGGGAGTGAGAATCCCAAGCAGGCTCCGCGCTGCCAGCACAGAGCCCAGCCAGTGTGGGGTTCCATCCCACAGAACGTGAGATCGTGACCCGAGCGGAAATCAAGAGCCAGACGCTTAACCGACTGAGCCCCCCAGCTGTCTTTTTAAACGAGCAAAACTTGAATATGCTGTCAGTGCCAGGTTGTGGCTGGAGGGGAGTCCCCAGTCAGCCCGGGAATGGGGTCTGCGGCTTCCAGCTCCCTCTGTCCGTCTCTGGCTACCGAAGAAGCTTCAAACCGCACTATAATGGTTTTGTGATCTAGTTTATTCAAAAGTGTTGTTGAAGAACTTTACATTGTAGATGGATCTAGATTCACCGCATACCTTGTCTTTTTCTTTTCTTTTTTTAATTTTTTAATGTTCATTTTTGAGAGAGAGACAGAGAGCATGAGCAGGGGTTGGGGAGAGAGAGAAGGAGACACAGAATCCGAAGCAGGTTCCAGGCTCCGAGCCGTCAGCACAGAGCCCGACGCGGGGTTCGAACTCGTGAACTGCAAGATCGTGACCTGAGCTGAAGTCGGACACTCGCCCGACGGAGCCACCCAGGCGCCCCTCTTCCTTTTTTTAAGTAAGCTCTAATGCCATGTCAGGCTGGAACTCATGACCCCAAGATCAAGAGTCAGGCCCTACGGATGGAGCCAGCCAAGCACCCCACACCTCATAGCTTTTAACTGCTGCCTTGTGTTCCCTGGAACCGATGTGTAAGGACTGTGCACTCAGAACGGTCCATGCGCTGCTGTGAAGGCGCTAGCAGCATTTTCGGGGTTTTAGAAATGTCACCTGACCCTCCCTGCGGGGCGTGTCCTTGCCTGACCGAGCGGGAGGGAGTTGCTGGGTCCCACGGCTGCGTGGCTTTTTACCGCTTTGCCTGCAGGTGCTCTCCACAGGTGGGAGCACCCCACCTCCCTCCTCCACAGGGTCTGACCTGACAGCTCCTTTCAGCCCACAGGGGAAGGTGCTGTCCTGACAGGTGCAGGCGGCATATGTCAGGCCACAGGCCCTTTGGGGCCGTTGTGGCTGTGTTTACATGTCTGATTTCTCCTGCGCTCCGCTCCTGCGAGAGGAGCTGCCTTTCAGGCTGGGCTTTCATCTGGAACAGACGTGAGGCTACTGCCCTCCCTGTAGGAAACTGAAACAGCCCTCTTGAGGCAAATTCTGGAACAATGCTGTGCTTGTGTGGCGTCCTGTCCCGAAGGCCGGAGTGCCTCAGCCCCCCGGATGCCCATCTGCGCCCGTCATGACATCGCAGAGTGTCCGTGTCTGACCCTGACCGTGTTTCGGACGCACTGTGGACAGTAACCTGTCTGGCCTCGCCCTTCAATACCTGCAGATTCCAAACCCCCCTCTGTGCTCCCTTGAACCTGTGCCCTGGCTTTGTGTTTCCCCTCATCACCCTTTAACACTGAAAGCAGGGAGTGTGCGCCCTCAAGGTTTGTGCCTGGACTGGTGTCCCCTGAGGGTCCCCAGGTGCGGCTGATGGCACTTCCGGGATGAATGTTGCCCACCCTGAGCTGGGGAGCACAGAGACGAGACTCTCTCCCTTCTTGGCTTAATCATGAACTTTCCCACGCCCCCAGTGTCGTCTTACTGAATACCTGCCTTAAAGGTCAGGGATCCAACACGAGAGGGTTCTATCAGCTCAGAGCAGGCTAACGTGAAGAATCAGAAAAAATTGTAAAGCCCAGGATACTATCGTAAGACAGGGGGTTGAAGTGCAAAGGTCCTAACAATTGGTGCCTGTACCCTCAGCCTCCCGCCTGCTAAGTGACAGGGCTGGGATTTGAACTCGGGTCCTTTGGTTCCACAGTCTTCATTACGTTCTGGACCTAAGGCTGTTCAGTACAGTGTGGGGTAGCTTGTGGTGAACCAGGTCACAGAATCCTACCAGGCTATCACCAGTGATGATGTGGGAGGGAATCCACAATCCTCCTAGAATAGGGGGGCCTTTGGCTACAAGGACCCGGAAAGGACGTGAAGGGGGATTTGAATGTGTTGGGCTTTCTTCTTAAGAGTTTTTATTTTAAATATTTTTACTGTTTATTTTGAGAGAGAGAATAAGTGGGAGAGGGGCAGAGCAAAAGGGAGACAGGATCTGAAGCAGGCTCTCCACTGTCAGCCCAGAACCCGATGTGAGGCTCGAACTCACAAACTGACATCATGACCTGAGCTGAAATCAGGAGCCAAAAGCAAGAGTCAGGTGCTCTCTCTACACACTGAGCCACCCATGTGCCCTGAGTTTTATTTTTCTTACACGGCTAGGCTGGCTGTGGCTTGTGTTTTTGCAAGCTTCGGATAATGTCATCAGAGAGCCAGGCTCTGTCCCTCTCTCTGCATATTCTCCTGCGTGCAGGGAATCCTTAGTGTCCAACACCTCGGGATCATAAAATGGCTGCTGCCACTCCAGCCTTCACTCCTGTGTCGAAGGCATTAAGGAGGGAGAAGAGCTGCCCTGGTGAGGCTGCTCCCTTTCAGTCCCCGCATCAGACTTCTAAGGCCTCATTGACCAGAACTGGGTTTTGTGTTCCCCACCAGCTGCAAGGCATGCTGGGAAAGTGAAGACGGGAGAGTCCCAGTTGGCTTAGATGCACAAGGATTCAATCCGTGTCTCTCTCTCCCCCAGAGAAGAAATGTCTCACACAGGACCCCTCTCCAGGGACGTCTTTTTGAGCACCTTCCTGCAGGAGCATGGCCCGGAGGTTCTGGACGTTCCTGGCATGACCGATCTCGCGGAGTACTATGATCCTGGGCCCTCCCCTAACGGGTATGTCCCAATAACACTCTGGGGGCCCCACCCACCCCCTTTTCTGGTCGGTGACTTTGGAGATACGGTTAGAAGAGCAGGCCTTGTGCGCTCCCCAGGCAGGGCTCCAGAGCGGAAATTCCCTAGGTGTGGCCTGGAGCCCTGCGCCCTGGGCACGGCCACTTTGCTCTGATATCCGCCCACAGAGGCCCTCGGCGGCCGGCATATTCCCAGGGCGGACCTCGGCACTGCCACCAAAATGACTTAAACCTGTGGCTTTAGGACTGGGTGTCTCCTGGGCCTCAGTGACCATGGTCACCTCTTCACGGCCTTTTGATGGGATCGTTCCCAAATTTTAGAAAATCAGGAGGAGCCTGAGGCCACTTCACACACGGCTCCTGTTAGGACAGCAAAGGTGGGGGGGAGGGGGTCTTCCGGGCTTAGCCTCTCGGTTCTGGACGTTTCTCTTCTGCCTTAGGCCTCAGGGTTCTCTTAGTCATTATTAGGTCCCAGACCTGGGCACTGGGGCTCGTTGGGATTTTAGAGCTGGAGGGACCTGGAAATCTGGCTCCTGTCCGTGCTCCGCGTGTACATGGCAACAGGGCGCGTCCGGCCCTGGACAGTGTGTTCCTGAGCTCCCACAGGGTATTGATAGAGGTGGGACCTCAGCCCGCCGTCCGACCTTTCATTGCCGCTGGAGTAAGAGAGCACGGACCCCAGGACACTTGGGCAGGTGTCTGGGTCTGAGCTGGGAGCCTCTGGGAGGCCTGTCTGCCTGGAAATTCCCAGATGGAAGGTGCGGGCAAACCCCTGAGAGCAGGGCTGAAGCCAGCCCACTGCGCGGGTGGGGGGGAGGGGACCTGCTGTGCACACATGGCTCCCTGCCCTCCCAGGCGGGGGTGGGGTGGGGTGGGGGCGCACATCAGGGAGTGCACCTAGGGACCAGACCTCACTGGCAGGTGCTTTCCTCCCATGCCTTGCTCTGTCGCCCCTGGGCTCCCACGAGGCCCGGCCCGAGTGGCCTGGGGAGCCTGGGTGTGTGGGGTCACCGCACAGCCACACCCCTGATCCCCGTGCCCTCCCCGCAGCAACAGCCCCGACGACGTGGCCATGCGGCTGGCCTTCATTGGGGACGAGATGGAAGTGAGGTGGATGGTGCCCCGCGTTGGCGAGCTGCCCGGGATGGCCGTGTACAGGTGGGCGCCGCCCCCCAGGCCCCGGGACGAAATCGCTCCCCTCCCAGGAGCCCCGAGCCCCTGCTCCGTGGAGAGAGGCCCTCATCCACGGAGCCGCCCAGAGAAGGGGGGTGGGGTGGCCGTGGATGCGAGGGAACAGGGCCCTCTTCTCCCCACAGGGGTCACCTGCGATAAAGGCCGTCTCTGCCCCCGTTCCTGCAGTAACGGCTCTGCCTCCCCTCCCACCTGTCTCCCAGCTTGGCCTTCACCTACGGCCAGACGGGCCTGAGAGGTGTCCTCAGGAGTCTCATGGAAGGTCTCGCCAACCTCAGGGAGAACATCCGCATCTGGAGCTTCCTGACCCTCAGGAACAGGGTAAATAAGCCTCGAGAGTCCATGACCTTGACTTCTTCCCCTCCTGCACGGGCTGATACGCTCCCCAGGGCATGTCTTCTGAGGGTGCCACAGACCCCACTGCTCCCTACTGTCTTGTCTTGCCTGCTTCTCCTCTTTTCTACTCGCGCCTGGTCCCAGACGCCTTTGGCTTTGGGATGCCCGGTTCACGGACTCCAGTTTGCCTGTGCCCGTGCTTCGTTGGGCAGATGGGACTGGCTCCTCCCTCATCTGCCTGGCAGGCGCCTCCTCCCCCGAGCATCTCTCCTGAGCACTCCCCAGTCCTCCCTGGGTGGGCCGGCTTCTCCTCCTCTGCCCTGTCCTCGGGGCCTATGCCCCACCCCACCTGTGCCCGTCTTTCTGGTCCCCTTGTCCTCGACCTGTCCCCTTTGGAGTGGGGCGCTCCTGTGTCCCCCGCCTTCCCTGATTCCTTCTTCCCACCCCACTCCCTGCCGCGCCGGGCTCGTCCGTGTGACCGCAGAGCGGAATGAGCACCCCTGTCCCAGGCTGCAGGCCCTCACCCCTCTCCCCTCCCCCTTGGTCCCACAGGTGGCCCCCAACGCGGGACGCGGGCTGGCGCTGTCCCTGCTGCTGCTGGTGCTGCTGCTCGGCTGGGGGCTGCACCTCCTCCAGTGACCCCCTGCTGCTGCTCAGTGTGGGGGCGGGGCTGGCCCCGCCCCCCTGACCTGACCACCACCCTGGAGGTGGCCTCAGTTGGTTTTGTTGTCTTTTTAACAGTTTTCTGATGATCCTTTTTTTTTTTTTTTTTTTTATTTAAACTCTGAGTGCTGGGACACTACTGAGGTTTCATACTAGTTTGTTCTTTTTCTTTTTTGTAAGAGAAATGAATTCCTTATACCTCTGGGGTCGTTACTGGGTAACTGCCCGCGCCAAGGCTCTCCTGGCCCCATGCCGAGCAGTGGCCGGTCCCCGGAAGGAGCCTTCCTGTCCCAGGTCGGTCATCCGGCGGGCAGCGGGGGGAGTGCTGGCCGCACCCCCGTGTCTGTGATGCCCGCGGCAAAGAGAAAATCTGCTGGACTAGATTTCTGAGGGGTAGGAGAGCTCAATAAAATGTTGGTTTCCAGCTGGTCTCTGGTCCTCTCTGGGGTCTGCAGTGTGGGCTTGGTCTTGCCCCCACAGGAGAGTCATGGGGGGGAGGGGGGAGGCGGGCGTGCACCTCGCCACCTGTGCGTGATCACAGCCTGCGGGCTCTTTCCTGCACCTGCTGTCAGAGCCCGGCCCAGCACCATCAGGTTTACTCCTCCATTCTGCCTGGTGCCTGAATCCTACCATTAGGGATTATTTCCTTTGGGCTGTCGCTCTCCTATAATTGGGCTGCCCCCGCCCCCTCGCCCTGGTGTGGGCTGGTCCGGCCTGTGGGGTTACTCACATAGGTGTGGTGGGAAGGGCGCCAGGGCCAGGCCTCCTACCGTGCGGGCTCAGGCTGCCCCAGACCTAGGCCTAGTGCTGCTTTTAGATCACCAGGCCCCCCTCCCAGAACTTGGGCTCTGACTCCCTGCCCCTTCGCCCATAATCCTCGACCTCAAATGCCAACCAGGGCCTGGGCTCAGAGAGCCTTCCCTGCCCTCCCTCCGCTCTGCCCCAGAGCTGTGCTGCACACACACACACACACCCACCCACCCCCACCCCCGCCCAGGCTGCTCAGGTCCGCCGCCGCCCGCCCTCATGACAGAAGGGACCCTCCTGGCCACCACCAGGCCTCCTAGGCCACAGGTCTCTAAGGTCTGGCCCTTCACAGCCTGGAGGCCTGATTTCACCTCCTTTTCCTGTGTAAGTTGTCCCTGGGGCTCCGTCAGGCCCTCCCCAGACTTCACAGGGCAGGCCCAGAATTCCCCAGTCCCCAGGTCCCTGTAGGAACTCCTGACACCTCGCTCCACCCAGAGACTATTCCATCCCCAGATAAGTTCCCACTGAGCTTATAGGCCTGGAAGTGACCCTGTGTGGATGCACTGACCCCGACCGAGGCCCTGGGGATCGATCGACTGTGGACTCAGTAGCTTGGGACGTGACAAGGCCAATTCTAGAGGCACCTCTAACGGGAAGTTCTCTGTAACCACCAGCTTGCCCTCCCCTAAGCTGTCGGGACCAACCTGCCCACTCAACCACGTACCCAGCTTAGATGCCAGATGTGGCCAGGGGTGCCCGGGGCTTCTTCAGGGGGAGGAGGGAGTGGAAAAGCTGTTTGTGGAGCCCCCCGGTACAGCTGATGCAGTGGCTTCTCTCTGCAGGAATTTGGGGACCCCTTCCCCAGTGTTCTAGGGTTTGCAGTATCTCCCCCCCCCCCCCCCCCCACCGTGGACATGAGAGGGGCCCCTGCTGTGCTGGGCTTGGGCACAGGTCCCGGGGGCGTGGTGAAGACCAGGAAACTCAAACCTCACATGGTTTTGGGAGGGAGAAGAGCACGTGGACCAGCTAGGATCCGTGCGCTGTGTCCTGAAGGTGGCAGAGGGGCGACGAGGCGCTGAAGACCAGGCCTGTCTGGAGATGCCGGCTGTGGCGAAGACAAGGGGAAGGGTCGCCCAGCTACTGGGAGCGGCACGTGCAAAGGCCCCGGGCTTGGGAGACATGCCAGGGCCCCAGGGAGGTGGGCCAGCCGGCTGGGGCCAGTGTCTGACTCCATGCACGCCAGCCCCGGTGCCCGATGGGCTTGCCCCAGCGCCTGTGCCCCCACACGAGGGGGCGGCCTCTCCACCTCCCAGGCCAGTGCAGCCCCAGCCATCTGGAGCCGGCACTTAACTCCTCTCAAGAAAGCCCACCCTACAGGTGGGCAACTGAGGCCCAGAGAAGGAGGGAGCTTGACCAAAGTGGCACCAGGGTCCTCTGACCCCCAATCCAGTTGGGGTCTTCTGATCACCACTTCTGGAGCTGGTCCAGGCCACAAGGGGCAGGAAGAGGCTGAGGCTGGGGCCCCCCAGCGGGGAAGGGGTCACAGTCTGGTGCATCCGAGTGGCAACTGCCACGAGTGGCAGACAGACGCTAAGCAACAGCAATACCAGAAGTCACTCTCCAGCCCCCAAACGGCGGGACTGGAGGCCCATCCCTCCTGGGAAGGGGGCAGACCACATGGCCACCCGTGGCCTCACACCATGTCCCTATCTCCTGGCCTCTGCAGCAGGCCCCAGGGGACCACAGCGTGGACACAGACCTCGGCCCCCTGGGGAGCTGGGGGGAGGCCACCGGAGACAGTGCAGCACTTTCCCGGAGGAGGGGTCAAGGCTGAGGGGGCACGACGGGCCCCATCTTTACCGTCTCGGAGCCTTAGGATCAAGGCCCTTGGTCCAGTCGGGATTTCCGCAGATGAGGCGGCGAGACCTGATGCTCTCAGAAGGTGCCCAGGGGACCCGGTCCTGCCGGGCAGGGAAGCGGCACCCCCCCCCCGGCAGGCCGAGGGAGGCCAGCTGCTGGGAAGGTAAGCAGGCCAGGGGGCTTCCAGGGGCGCGGGACCCCAGTGCGGCGGCAGGTGGCATTCCTGCCGGGGGTGGGCTGGCCAGGACACAGGGTACTTTCCATAAGGGGGCAGGAACCCGCCTGGATCCTGCCAAGGAGCCAGATGTAGGGTCTACCACCACCCAGACCCCGGGCTCCCCATGGCTCCCCTCACCACCTGATGCCGGTCACTCTCCCCGACTGAGTCTGCAGGGGCAGGGGCCAGGGGCCACCGGCCCAGGTCTCCCTCGGTGCAGGTGAACACTGCCAGTCCTCATCTTCCCGTTCCTCCCTACCGGGCAGACATCTTGCCAGCTTTCTGGAACCTTCTTTAAGGTAGGGCTGTATGTCCTCTGATGGCTGTTCTTTCCCCCTCCTCTGGCTTGGACCTGAGGACCTGGCAGCACCATCCCGACCCCGAGGAACAGGGCCGTGGCCCAGAGAGGCAGTGAGGCCTGCCGGGTGGGGACACTGAGCCCCCCGCAACCCCTGCTTCTCCAGCTGCCTCCTCCGGGGCCGAGATCCTCGGAGCTGCATGCAGGCCTGTGACACGGCCCGGCCCGCCGCCCAGCCTGAGAATGTAAGTCTGGCCTGGAGAGCCTGCTCTCCCAAAGCTGCCTGCGACTGAAGCCCTCAGTGAGGAGGGTTCCGGCAGACTCGGCAATTACTTAAAAATAATAGCAAGACTCTTTGTGAACGTTTGGAAATTTCCACAACAAAATTTTGAGAGAGCTATTTCGCCGCTGAACTCCAAACAACAGGTCAACTCAGGCCGTGGTGAAATCCGGGCTCGTGGTCGCATCCGCAGGGGTCTCTGGGGCTGTGGACACACGGGGCCGTGTCGGGGCCACAACGCCAGGAGGCGCTAGGGGCCAGGAGAGGCCAGGAGCCGGGACAGCTGTCCGCATGCTGTGCCACAGTCCACACAACGCCGTCCAGTTCTGCCCAAAGGCCAACGGGGCCCCCGTTGAGAAACACTGTTGAATTACGGAGAAACCCCTCCAGGATTTGACACGGGTCTGCACAATAGCAACATTTCTAGATAGATGCAGTGGTTTCTCACCAGTGGTCTCCTGCTATCGCTGCTCAGTGAAAGAGCCACCAAGAAGCTTAGGCTCACCCCTTGGTGTCAGTGCAGGAGCCGCGTCCACAGAGAACCTGCACTTTGCTCCCGCTGTGGGGCCGGCCGAGCAGCTCTCCGGGGGTCGCCTGTGCCAGGCTGGGTCACGGGCGCACAGCAGACGCTCACCCATCACAGGGATGCCTGGGGGTAGGGGTGGCACAACAGGGCCCTCAGCCAGCCTCCCCAGGCCCCTCCCTCCTCGCGAAGGACCCTCCTCCCCGCCAAGGTAGAGGCCACTCGTTCACAGGCTTACAGCAGGCACTCAATACTGTCGGGGGAGTCAACAAACGTCGCACTGGATCTCCTAACTGCTGAGTGAGGGGGTGGGCACAATGACTGCCAAGGCCAGCTGTGCCTCAAAGCCCTTTGCACTCAGTGACACCAGTGCTAAGATGCTGGCTGTGGGCGTCCACGGGCTGCCGGGGCAGCGGAGGACCCGTCTGGCGCCGGCCTGCCCCTCGGCCGTCAAGCCCACGGCACCCACGCGGCAACAGGCCGAACCCTTGCAGTCCCTAGGCCACACCTGCCAGGCTGGTGGTTTCTGCCCACTTTAGAGGAGCCGCCAGGCAGAGCCGGACCTCACCCAGGCTTTCGGGCCTCTCCCCCGCCCCCCCCCCCGAACATGCCCCAGGGGGGAAACGGAGAAGCGGGTCCTGTCCAGTAAAGAAATACTCTCAGCGCTTTTTATGCGGCATTCAAAGCACTTTGCAGACCACGCCTCCCCATCACTCCAGGAGGAGGAAGCCTCTGGAAAGGCAGGGCAGGTCCGGGGCCCCCCGCCCCCCGCAGGGCCGGGCTAGGCCCCATCGTCCTCCAGGACGCCCACGTGCCCGTACGCCTTCCAGGCCTGCAGGTTACAGCTCTTGAGGACGCTGCCCAGCTGCTGCCCAGGCCCCACTTCGAAGGTCCGGGGGAACTCCGTGCCCCTCTTCCTCTCGTACACGGCGTGCATCGTCTGCTCCCACTTCACCGGGGAGACCACCTGGCGCACCAGCAGTTTCGGGATGTGTTTGGGATGCGTGTATCTGTTCCCATCGACGTTCGAGTGGACGGAAACCAGAGGCTTCTTGACGCTGACGGACTCCAAGGCCCGGGCCAGGGGCTCCACGGCCGGCTCCATGAGGCGGGTGTGGAACCCGCCGCTGACCGGCAGCATCTTGGTGCGTCTGAAGTGAAACTTGGAGGAGTTCCTCTGGAGGAAGTGCAGGGCCTGGAGGGAAGGAGAGGAAGTCTAAGCCAAGGTCGTCCTGGGGGAGAGACGGCCAGTCCTGCACGGGGGCTGCCACCCCCGCACGTCCACACCTGCTCCGTCAGCAGCTGCGGGGACAGGCTCGCCTGCCTCTCTGCTCCAGCTCAAGCCGGCCATGCGGCTGGCACCCCTCGTCCCGCCCTGGGGGGCGGCCACTCGCACAGCCCACCCGCGCAGGCGACAACGGCGGGGCCGAAAGAGACGGAGGCCAGGAAGCGGGGTCCGTCCCGGCGCCTCCTACGCGGCCCGGGGCTCCGGGCAGGTCACTCGGCCTCTCTGAACCGTTTTCACCCACAGAACGAGCACCGGCGCACCTGCCACGCCAGGTGCCGGGAGGAGATCCCACGGGGGGGGGGGGGTGAGAGGGCGGCACGCGCGGGAACGCGCTGCCTCCTGCTGGCTTTCGGTGAGCTGCCGGCTACCCTTCCAAACTGTGAGAGCCGTTTTCCTACTGCTCTGTAAACCTCACGATAAAAATTCAGGAGCCCCCCGGCCTCCTTTCCTTCTCTCAGAGCCCCCTCAGCTGAGCTCTCTCTCGAGGAGAGAGCTCTGTCTCCCAGAAGCCAAAAGCCTTCCGCTGAAGGGGTCTCGGCTCAGAAGGGGCCTCATGGGCTAACGCGCCCAAACTTGGGACTGTCTGCAAACGACGTAATTTGCAAATATTTTAAAAAAATAGTAGATACTGTTAAGAGGCCCCATACCCTCCGGCACAGCCCGGGGCCTGCCACCCTGACGGCCCCCGCTGGGACCTGCTGAGGCCTCCTGGGCGCTGAGCCGCGTGTCCACGTCTCTCCAGGCTGTCCCCATCTGCAGCGGCTCAGAAGCCAGGCAGCCGCTCCCTAGAAGCCCGAAGGGAAGCCTCCGTCACAGCAGCTGCGTGACCTTGGGCAGTTCTGCCTTACCTCTCCGCGCCTCAGTTCTCTCATCTAGGAAATGGGGCTAACGACAATAGTTAGCCCACAGGCTACTAAGGAGAACTCTGGCGGCACACAGGCGCGATGTAAGGGCTGACAAGGGTCTCGGAGGCCATGCCCATCCACGTCCACTGGAAAAGTACGTAACAGGATGGCTATCTGTGCCCCGGAAGGGCAGGGAAGGATTCGCAGTTTCGGCTGGGTGGCACTCGTTCACTGGTCTCTGTGGGCCCTCCCCACACGGCCCCCAGGCTCGGCCAATGCCACCTGTGGCTCACCGTGTCCCGCTGTCCCGTGCCGGGAGCCCGGCAGCTGGGCACAGAGCCCAGCTCAGCACAGAGCCCAGCTCAGCCTGGTACCGGAAGTGGGCCACGCCCACAGGAAGCCCTGAGGGGGCCGGCTGGCCATCACTGCAGCAGGGTCCTGCTTGTCCTGACGCCTCACATCGCCACCACTCTCCCTTGTCCCCAGCCCGCCGTGGGGCACCCGGGACCCCCCCCCAACATAGGCCTCCCCACCAGGCCCCGACCGTGTGGGCTGTGGCATCGACACGGACGGCTACTCCGTGGCACTTCCTGCGTCACTCAGCATCCTTCCACGTAAGGTCTCCGGAGCGGTCCAGCGCAAGTCCCAGGTCGGGGCCGCAGGAGTCGAGCCACAGCCGGGGTGCGGCGGGCTCCTCTGCGGCTGGTCCCCAGCCCCGGCGCCGGTTTAGCAGAGGCCCGGGAGCTCTGTCACGTCAGCTGCCCTGCTCACGGGAGGCCCCGGCCTCGCCTGGGCTCTCTGCTGCGGCACGTCCGACCGAGCACAGGGCCAAACCCGGGACCCGAGGGGTCGGCGTCCTGGGCAGTGGACACTCTGGGAGCTGCTGGGGGAGGCTCCGCCCTTCCAAGGCTGTTGACGGGAATGAGCAACGTGGGGCCACAGTCCCTGGTCTTCCTGTCATCTCAGAGCTGCCACAAGAGGGACTGTGGCTCTCACTGGTTCCGAGGAGATTCACAAAGACACCGGGCACACCGGCAACGCCTCGCAGGGGATGACGGATGGAGCACAGTCGAGTAGAAGAAGGTTCCAGAATGAGACAGGCCGGAGCTCCATTCTGCCCCCACCACATCTGAGTGCTGGCCACTCTCTCTGCCTCGGCTTCCTTGTGTGTAAAACACGAGTGAGACCCCCTTCCGTGAAGCAGGGACTGGCTGCAGGGCCGGATGAGTCGTGTAGGCATGGCCTGCACCCACAGCCCCCGCGGGATCCCGGGTGGACGCGCTCCGTGCCCGCTAGGCGGGGCTCTCCCCCTTCCCCTGCAAACCCGCCCTCCCAGCACCGCTCCCTGTGGTGCCTCAGGCCTTCTGGCAGCGGGGGGCCTGACCCCTGCTGTGCCCCAAACCCGGGTCACCTGTTCTCGGGTCACCTGTTCTCGGCTTATCAGTCTCGGCACCCTCAGTGCTCCTTACAGAGGGGCTGCTCCAGAGACGTCGGGGGAAGCAGTGAACGCAAGGAAGGACAGAAGGACAGAAAATGAACTCGGGGCAAAAACAGACACCTAAGAAAAGGGGGGAGGGAGGGAGGAGGAGGGAGCGACCCAGCAGGAAAGGCTTCTCCTCTTGCTAAGGAAGCAACCGGCTCGGAGGTTGTGAGAATCGCAGACTTTACTACAGGAAGGCTCTGATCTATGTGTGGCGGAGCGGGGACGGTATCCCGGTCTCTGGCCTCCCTCTGCAGTGCTACCCCCTCCCCCACCCTGCCCCCGGCTGGCCCTCAAACACTCCCCAAAGGCCGGGGCCAGGCAGAGCGGCCATGGCACCCCCGCAGGCTCACGAGTGTGGGTGAGACAGTTCCAGCCTTCCGGACCGGACTGGGGTCAGTGGAGGCCATTCCCATCAACACCAACCTGCAGGTGTCCTGAGATGACCCTGCAGTCAGGGAAGAGGTAGCTGGCCACCTCGCACACAGGGTTCTCTATGCCCAGAGTCCTGCAGTGTTCCCGGGCTTCCAAACAGGCGGAGGCGAACTTGGACTGAGGCTGGCCAAGGACAGACAGCATGCCACTGGGGACAGCTTCCGAGGCTTCCTGCATGGCCTCGGCTCGGATTTTCACCGCATGCAAACCTATCCAGAGAGAAGCGCATTTGGAAAAGTCAGGGCGCGTGATGGAGGAGGGGCGCCCAGACCCGAGAGACGAAGCACAGGTCCCACCCGGCCTGCGGGGGACGCAGACGCTGGTCATTCATCACTGGCCCACAAGGCCACGGCTCCATGCGTCTGCATCCACTACGCAGGGATGGTGCCGCCATCACGAAAAGGGCGGGTGCTGTCCTTGGCATTCGAGAAAGGAAAGCACAGGGCTCCGGCCTTAAAGCCGGCTTCGTGTTCGATGGCATTTCTTAACCAGGGGTGATTCTGCCTCACGGCAGCGTCTGCAGCCACTTCTGATTGTCACAGCAGTGGAGTGGGGGGGTGAGGGAGACGTGCGCATGCTACCGGCACCTGGCCGATAGAAGCCAGAGACCCTGCTCGGCATCCTACAATGCACAGCTCCTCCCAGACACGGAACGCCTGGCCCCCAATGTCAACGGTTGAGAAACCCTGGTGCAGAGGAACAGACTTTGAGCTATGCGGTTTCGGGCAAGTCGTGACCTTCTGGACTCAATCTTTAGTTACTATAAAGAGAATGAGAATATCGCATCTGCTAGATTGTTGGGAAAACTGGAAATTAGTGTTTCAATAATACAGGATTCTCCTAAATCCAGCTTTACTGCCCCCACGTGGAGTTGGAGAACCGGCTGCCGCCGACGTGAACGAGCTGCAATGCAGCCTCCTGGTTCAGTGCAGCCCAAGTGCAAGGTGAGAGGACAGGGCTGTGCCTGTGGCCGTGACGTAAGAAGGGCCTGTAACCGCTGGACACCCACCATCCTGGTCCTGGGCCCACTCCCTGGAGGGAGGGGGTGACCGGACCAAGGAGAGGGTGAGGGACCCGTCCACTGGCCCCTTACACAGAAGGCTAAGGGGGAAACACAGTGATGGCCCCGGGGAGGAGGGAGGAGAGAACACACGGGAAAAGAGGAGAGAGCCCCTCCCACGCAGGCATTGGGGAACTACGCAAATCGTCAAGTGAAGTAAAACCAGGATGCACATACGCTGTAATTCTGCAAATTACGTACACATAAAACTACGTACGTATGAAACAGTTTTATTAGGATGCATGAATGTGCAACAATTCTTATTGCTTCCTTAACGGGGCCACAATGCTGCATTTTAAAACACTGAAATTGGGGCGCCTGGGGGGCTCAGTCAGTTGAGCGTCCAACTTTGGCTCAGGTCTGATCTCACGGTTTGAGTCTGAGCCCCATGTCAGGCTCTGTGCTGACAGTTCAGAGCCTGGAGCCTGCTTCGGATTCTGTGTCTGTCTCTTAAAACTGAATAAACATTAAAAAAATTTTCTTTAAAAACCTAAAAAAACCCCACTGAAGTAAAAATCACATAAAATATAACCAGTTTCGAGTGCATAATTCAGTGGTTTTCTGTTATTCCCACAAAACACCCCATATCCGCTAAGGAACCCCTTCCCATTTCTCCTTTCTCTGCCCCCAGTAACCTCTCGTCTGTTGTCCCTGTGGATTTGCAGATTCTGGATATTCCGCATGAAAGGGACCACGTGGTTATGTGACCGTGTGTGCATGGCTTCTTTTTCTGAGCACGCTTTTGAGGTTCATCCTGCTGCACCCTGATCAGCACTGTAGCCCCTGTCACGGCCCAGTGACACGCTGTTACACAGACGGAGGGCAATTCGTTCCTCATCATCTGATGGCCACGTGGGCTGTTTCTCTCTTTCGGCTGTTGTGAGCAATGCTGTTGTGAACACCTGTGTACAGGTTTTTCTGCGTGGATGCATGTTTTCATTTGCTGGGTACATACCTATGGGTAGAACCGTGGGGCCACACGGTAATTCTATCTGTTAACTTCCTGAGGAACTGCCGAACTTCCACCGCGGCCGCGCCATTCTACAGCCTCACCCGCAATGTCTGAGGGTCCTAGTTTCTCATTCTTGCCAACACTATTATTATTACTACATTTTCTTAGCTAAAGCCATCCTGGGGGTGTGAGCGGGTATCCCAGTGCGGTTTTGATGTGCATTTCCCTAATGCTGAGTGATGCTGAACATCTTTTCATGTGCCTGTTGGCCATGCGTATGTTTTCTTTTGAGAAATGTCTGTTCAAGTCCTCTGCCCATATTTAACTATAAGCAAAATGGTTTAACTATGAGCAAAATTCTTTTTTAAACATTTTTTAATGTTTACTTATTTTTTGAGAGAGACAGACACCGAGTGCGAGCAGGGAAGGGCACAGAAAGAGGGAGACACAGAATCCGACACCGTATCTGGGCTCTGAGGTGTCAGCACAGAGCCTGACATGGGGCTCGAACTCATGGACTCCGAGATTATGACCTGAGCTGAAGTCGGATGCTTAACTGACTGAGCCACCCAGGCGCCCCACTATGAGCAAAACCCTTAAGAAGTAAAACTGATACGGAGCGCCTGGGTGGCTCAGTCGGTTGAGCATGACTTCAGCTCAGGTCATAATTTCGCGGTTCGTGAGTTCAAGCCCCACCTCGGGCTTGCTACTGTCAGCCTGTCAAGTGTGGAGACCACTTTGAATTCCCTGTCCCCCTCTCTCCGTCCCTCCCCTACTTATGCTCTCCCCAAAATAAATAAACATTAAAGAAAAAAAAAGTGAAACTCACAGGCTCAAGATCAAACAATCAGTTACTCTTTTTCATTCCAGGACTGTCTGTGGAACACAATCATGTGACAGGCACTGTGGTGTGTGAGTGGACAGAGAACACCCAGGACAGGGCGGGGACAGTCAAGCAGACAGAGCTCAGGAGATTCTAAGAAAGAAAGAAACCCCCACCCCCACCCCCACCCCATGAACCCTTCCGGCTTAAAACGGAGTCAAGGTGAAGTCTGGTCCTCGGGCTCTAATGCCGCTCTCATCTATGTGCTCCTTTATCACCCGAGTGGCTCCAGGATGATTTGTGGCAGTGTCCTGTGTCCCCAGTTGAGCCCAGCAAGAGAACACCCCAGCACAAACCCGAACCCCTTCCTGGGTACCTTCTGAAAACTCCATGGCTCCCGCAAACACGAGGGCTGCAAATTCTCCCACACTGAATCCGGCAGCAGCGACGCAGTTCTCAATAACCTGTGGCGACAGAGGCAGGACGTGAGGCCAAGTTCTCGGGGGCGTGGGGTTGGGGGGTCAGTCTGGGGCTCTGCACTTGACAGCTGGCAGGGTGTGGAGAGGCTCCGGGGAGCCAGGGGCCGCTGGCCTGGTGCTCTGGCTACAAGAGGGCACTCCTCCTACCGACGAGGGCCTTCCCCGGCTGGTGGACTCTGGTGGAAGTGGGACTCCAACCCAGGGCCCTGGATTCTCCTGCCTCCGCCCTGGAGATGCCTCTCGGGCCTGATGGAGCTGGAGGGAGCTAAGCATAGAACATAACATGCCTCAGGGTCACAGAGAGCTGGATTTGTACTCTAAGCCTGGGAGAGTTTTCTAACTTCTTTGAGCCTCAGTTTCCCGTCTGTGGAATGGGGACAGGGCAGAACCTACCTCACAAGACTACTAAGAAGACTGCGCGAAGATAATGTCTCTGAAGTGCGGAAGCACAGACCTGGCGCAGGGGCAGCACTTGTTACTAGACTCCACAGGACCACTCAACTAATTCCGTTCCCGTCTCTGAATCACCTTTCCTCATCCACAAAGTAACTGTATTTACCTCACCTGAGAATGGAGTAAAGGGTGTAAAGTAGCAGCTAAACATTTACTGTCCTCATATTATTAAACATTAATAGTCAATTCACGCCTTCAAGTGAAGTGACATTCTCACACATCTTAACGATCCTTCATTTAAGGATGAAGTTTAATCCTTCTAAAATAATTTAGGAATCAACAAACGACTAGGGTTATTCAAAATCGCAGCCCAGCCCTCGACTCCTGAACCCCTTTCCCTGCTCCATTTTCCCTTCTGGGACACCCTATTTAACATACTAGGTCATTTAGACAGTATATTTATTCTTCATTATCTATCTCCCTTCCCCGAACATGCAGGCTCCGCTGGGGCACGGCTCCCTGTTTTGTCCAGGGCTGTATCCCCAACGCCCAGGACAGTGCCTGGCGCCGAGGGGGCACTCGGTAAGAATCTGCGTTAGACGTGGGAGCGCTCGGGCCTGGCAGGGGCGCCCTGGCCGGGATGGCAGAGCTGGCGCAGAGCCGGGCCTCACCGAGGGCTGCAGGTGATGCAGCTTCTCGACGGCGGCCAGCGAAGCCACGAAGACAGCGGGCTGGCAGTGCACGGTGCGGTCCAGGTCCTCTTGCGGCCCGTGCAGGCTCAGCTCCAGCAGGTCGTAGCCCAGCACGCTGCGGGCGGCGGCGTAGAGCTCGCGGACGCGCGGGTAGCCGAGCAGCCCCCGGCCCATGCCCACCACCTGGCTACCCTGGCCCGGGAAGAGCAGCACCGAGCACTGGCCCGGCGGCCGCCGCCGCCGCCGCGCCTCCGCCTCGCGGGGCCCTTCCTCCGCGGCCATGGCATCTCGCAGCAGCTCCGCCACGTTCACGGCGCCCGGCGGGGGCAGCGGGAAGTTCGCAGCGGCCCGGCGGCAGCGCGCGCCCCAGCCCCAGGCCCACGCGCCACGCGCCACGCGTAAGCTCATGGCGGGGCCGCGGGCCCCCGTGCGTTTCCGTGGCGACCGGGGCGCAGCGAGGGCGACGCGGCGCGGTCCTTGACGCATTTCCTGCCGGGCGGGTCGGGGGCAACCTAGGGCGGGAAGAAAGGTTCCGAGGCTACGGGTTCCGCCCCGGCTCCGAAAGCCTGTGCGGCTGCGCGCCAGGGCCTGGCGTGACCCAGGCGCTCCCGGCAGCCCCGCGGAGGAAGGAGCGAGAAACGCCGGGCACCGCAGAGCCGTCAGCCCGCGCAAGAAGTTGTTGCCAGAACAGCGAGCGCACTGTAACACTCACTCTTTCTACCTAGCTTGTGAAGGGGTTTGAGACTTTCCACGTTATTTCTCCTGATTTCTCAGCAGCTCTGTGTGGTCTTGGAGAATCTTGCCTACAAGCCAAACAGGCAGCCAAACAGGCACCTATGGGTATCCAATAAGCATCTGTTCCATTGAACAAAGCCCTGGATATTTTCCCGACATTAGCTTATTTTGTATGTATGTATGTATTTTTAAAGTAGGCTCCATGTCCGATGTAGGGCTTGAACTCATGACCCTTAGATCAAGAGTCTCTTGCTCTACTGACTGAGCCAACCAGGCACCCCCCTGGCATTAGCTGATTTAATTCCTCCCAGCAACACGGTGATGGATAGGTGCTGTTATTATCCTCAGTTTACAGATGAGTGGGCAAGACACAAAGACTGAATGACAGGTGTTTAGAGTCTGGAGAGGCATTGGAAATACGGGTTATAGGTTTCTGAGCAGTGGTGTAAGGCTGCGACGGGGAGAGTGTAACTCTGATCTCACCCCACTTACCCTCTGCTCCTCTCTCATTTCCTGCCAGCCCAGGAGACAGACATACACACACACCCCTCATCATGAGAAAGATCCAGGTAGAATTACATCTGCAAATCTACTTCAGTGAGTTTGTCCTACGAATCAAATGCACAAAGCCCTAACTCGCAGAACATCCAGTGCACCCTTGCTTTTAACAAGAAAAAAGTGGAAATGAGCCATACATTCGACGAGAGATTTCTTAAATGGGTTACAGCAGATGATATGACCCTGAGGTCATCAAAGATGTGGAGTTGATTTTCAGGTTAAGACGTGAATAGAATACACACTGCCTCCAGAAGCCTATAAATACACAGGAAAGGAATCTTTTAAAGGCATAAATCCGCCAGGACAGGGAGAACCAGAAAGAGGGCCCTTGCAACAAAGCCTGGAAGCTGAAAAGCAGGAAGACCAGTATTACCTGACTTCGCAGACTCCAGACAGCCACATCCCTCCTGACGGTGGGGGAAGCTGACCACATCTTATTTATCAGGAGACTTGTCAAAAGCTTAGGAACTGGCTGCTTATAGATCTAAGGGTGAAAGAAGGGTAAAATAAAGTGGACTATTTGAAGGCATCTTTGAAGAACAGTTAGATCTTTACTGTTTCTTTTAGAGACAGCATGTGAGGGAGGAGTGGCAGAGAGAGAGTGGTGGGGACAGAGGATCTGAAGTGGGCTCTGTGCAGACAGCAGAGACCCCAGTGCAGGGCTCAAACTCACAACCGGTGAGATCATGACCTGAGCCGAAACCAAGAGTTAACTGCTTAACTGACTGAGCCACCCAGGAGCCCTGAACAGTTAGATCTTTAGGCCCCTCTCTCTGCCACTGAGTGGTGCCCCTCCCTCATTCTGGCAAACATTTGGGATTTAGCTCCGGAAAGGACTGGACCGGGACAGTGGGGAATGTGGGTACTCCGCTAAAGTGGGTGGATGCTGAATGCTGAATGCAGAGACCTCCTCCGATGCTCTCCTTCACTAAGCTCCCAGAAACCTGGAGCCAGGCCCTTACCCTCCACAAAAGAGACTGAAGGACTGTGGGGAATCTGACCAGTCCAAGAGGAAATCTGAAAGATATTGACAATCCAGGAAGTTCCCAGAGAGATGGCCAGACAAGTTCCGACTTACATGATGTTAAACCAACAAATACCATCCACACACGTATTTTCCTCCCTCCTAATCATGAGCAGCCGGCCCAAAATTCCCAAGCATCTGAGGAAAGCCTCTTATAAACAGAAAACACACACACACCCCCCCCCTACAATGCATGGGATTCAGAGCCTATGATAAGAGAAGAAAATAATTGTTTTAAGAAAACTATCACAGATAGTTGAGAAGTAAGAGAAGGTGCTATATCCATGAAAAAAAATCAACAAAAAGTTATATATAAAAAAAGAACATTTAGAAAACAATTAAGAATCCCTCAGAAATTAAAGAGTACAACAGCAGAATTGAAAAACTCAATAGAAAGCCAGGAAGAGACAGTTGAGGAAACCTCACAGAAGGTAAAACCCTAGAATCCAAAACTCAAACCAAAACCAAAAGCCCATGAGAAGCAGAAAAGAAAAGGAAGTTACAGGACCAGCCTAGGAAGTCGAGGATTCTGAGTAACAGGGGTTTCAGAAAGAGAAGTGAGAAAATGGAGGGAAGGAAATCATCAAAAAAAAAAAAAAAAAAATTCAGTTTCTGAAAAATTAAGGGTATGAGTTTCCTATATGGGAGGGTCCCCTGAGCATGGGCATAATGGATGAAATTAGACCCACATAAGGACTATCCGTGTGACAGTCCAGACCTCTAGGGACAAAAATATATTTTTTTAATGCTTTATTTATTTTTGAGAGAAAGAGATAGAGACAACATGAGCAGGGGAGGGTCAGAGAGAGAAGGAGACACAGAATCTGAAACAGGCTCCAGACTCTGAGCTGTCAGCACAGAGACCGACACGGGGCTCAAACCCACGAACCATGAGATCATGACATGAGCCAAAGTCGGACGCTTAACCAACTGAGCCACCCAGGTGCCCCTAGGGGCAAACATCTGAAAACCCTCCAGGAAGAACAAAACAGGTCACATGCCAAGGCTCCAATCTCTGAATGGCTTCGGCCTGCTCATCAGCCTTGTGGCTGGAAGCCACTGAGTGTCTGGAAGACTGGATGTCTTCATGACCTGGAGGGACAGTGGTCTCCAATTTTGAGTTCTTACTCAGCGAAGCATCAGTCAACCATGAGAGAGAAGGCAAGATTTCTTCTTTTATCTTGAGAGGGACAGAGACAGTGCGAGTGGAGGAGGGGCAGAGATGGAGAGAGAGAGAGAGAGAGAGAGAAAGAGAGAGAGAGAGAGAGAGAATCCGAGGCAGGCACTGCACTGTCAGCACGGGAGCCTGATGCGGGGCTCGAACTCATGAAAACGTGAGATCATGACCTGAGCGGAAACCAAGAGTCGGATGCTAACTGATGTGCCGCCCACGAGCCCCTAGAATGCAAGATTTCAAAACGGTGTCTCCTACGCAGTCTATGTCAAGACCCCCTGGAGAATGGGCTCATCACAAACGTGGGGGGATCCATCTAGGAAATGAGGAGTCAGACAGCAGAGGGGAGGAGGGCATCCCCGAGGTGGTGGCCAAGAGAGCCCCTGGAATGATGTGTGCCCCACGCCTACAAGGGCCGCCGTCACCAAGCCCCGGGCAGTTACTCTACTACCTACGTGGGGACAGAATCCCCAGTGAGCCTGGCCCAGATTCCTGCCTGCACTTGGCCGGTCTTGATCACGGATTGATACCTCTTCTCGCCTCCACTCCCTGCTGCTTCCTCAGCTGCCCGTTCCCCCCCTCACAGAAGTGAGCACCCCTACTCCTGAGATCTGGACACACGTCCAATGAGCTCACAAGCAAGGACACAGAAAAGCCCAAGCCTCTGACCATTTCCTGCTAAATGGCCACGTCGCAGCCGCAGACGTGCCGCCAGGGGAGCCTCACCCCCAACCTTGCCAATGTTTGTCAGAGGCCCAATTCTGTTTTTCCTTCCCAGGGATCTGCCTCTGGTCTGACCGTGATGCCTGCCCTCTCCAGCCAGGTGGATGCTGCCCCAGCGGTTCAAAGCTAGTCAGTAGAGTCCTACCTGGGTGGTATTAATACAACTCTAAAGGAGGGGCGCCTGGGGGGCTCAGTCGGTTAAGCATCCAACTTCGCTCAGGTCATGATCTCACGGTTCGTGAGTTCGAGCCCCGCGTCAGGCTCTGTGCTGACAGCTCAGAGCCTGGAGCCTGCTTCAGATTCTGTGTCTCCCTCTCTCTCTGACTCTCCCCTGCTCATGCTCTGTCTCTCTCAAAAATAAATAACATTAAAAAAAAAAAAGACTTCTAAAGGAAAGCACAGGCATATTTAACTCACAAGTCCAGTTAGAGGTGACCTTGGGGTGACAGGAAGGAATCAAAGAGAATACCAAGAGCCCTGGCAATCTTCTCTTCCTTAACCTGGGGAGGGGACACTCAGGTGTCTTTTTATTTTTATTTTAAAGGGTCCACAGCGTTTTATATACATTTCTGTTTGTAGGGAACCCTTCCCAATGAGGTAAAAACAATGTAGACAAAGGTTTGCTAATGTGGAAGGAGGCTTCTGATTTATTGTGAGGGGAAGAAAAATTATAAAACCATTTACAGCGTGAAGGTGTTCTTGTAAAGGAGTGTGTGACGCTCTTGGAAAAAGGCGTGGACAAAGTCACTTAAGTGTTGGCTGTGTTTTGCTCTAGGCTATGGGTGACTAGGTGGTTTTATGTTTTCCTCTGTGTTTTCCAATTCCTTTACAATAAATGTGGATTTCTCATGTAATAAGGTAAGCTCATAAATAAAATATAAGGAAATACTTTCCCTGAATTCCACGTGGAATTGGGAAGCCCAATGACACCCTGGTTAAGAGTGCAGATCCTGGGGGCACCTGGGTGGGAATCCGGACTCCACCGCTCTGGCGCTGTGTGACTTCGGGTTGCTCCCTCACCTCTCTGAACCTGTGGGGGTGTTTTCCGTGCCTCCCTCCTGGATCGACTGAGGCCAAAGGTTGGGTTTGGTTGTGTTGTATCCTCCAGGGTTCAGCCCAGGGCTGGGCACCCTGAGGTGCTCAATATATAGGCCAAATGCCCAGGACCAGTTCCAAGTTCAGTGCTGTGGAGCTTAGAGGTCACTGCCTACTTAGAATGGGGGAGGCACAGAGTTGGGGTTTTGGAAGAGCTTGCCGGCACGGCACTGGAGAGCAGTCAGACTCGGACACGAGGGGTGTCCAGGGTACGGGGTGGGGGGTGCTCTAGGCAGGGACACAGAGGTGGGAAAGGGTGAGGTGGTCGCCTTGACCCCAGTTTGCCAGGGCCTCCAGTGCCAGTCTGGACTGGATCCTAAGCAGTGGGAGGCTTGGAGGGTCCTCAGCAGAGGAGGGCAGTGGGAGACACAAGGGGGGAGCTGGGGGCAGCTAGGGGCTGCCGCTGCTGCTCGGAGGAGGGACAGGGACTGTAGCCCAGGCTCAGGTGGGGTCCGGGGGGCTGGGCAGGAGCGAGGTGAAAGTATCCAGGCACACCCGGTGTGGCATCTCCCTCCACACGAAGACCTGCAGCATGAATCCCTAGGGCAGCCGCCGCCCCCCCCAAACTGCAGGGTCACGTCTGTGAGAGGTGTGTGGACTTCACACAAACCTGTGCGTTTGTTCTCGGCCCCTCCCTTTGACCGTGGCAGGCAGCAGACATGTGGGGGCAGATGTCTTTGAGCCTTGAGCCCCATGGGTAGTAGGGGTGAGGCTGGAGGGAAGCTGCACCGTCTCCTCCCCACGAACCTTCCGGGGGGAGGTGAGTGTGCCACTTGGCCAAGCCACAGGCACCTCCTTACAGGAAGCGGGTGCAGGCTGGCAGCTCGCTGGGAGGTGTGGCCAGACCGATTTCATCAGGGCCGGCAGTGACAGCGCCAGCTGGCACAATACTTTGAGGGACCCAGGAAAATGTTGCAATTTATTTTGATTAACTAACTAGCTAACTAAATAACTTATCTTAATTAATGAATTAATTAACGAATGAATTAAAATATTTTCTTTTTTAAAGTAATCTCTACACCCAGCACGGGGCTCGAACCTACACCTCTGAGATAGAGACTCACATGTTCCATTTGACGGAGCCACCCAGGTGCCCCGCTTTTTTTCAAGTAGGCTCCTTGCCCAATGTGGGGCTCAAACAGCCCTGAGGTTAGGAGTTGCGTGCTCTACCCACTGAGCCAGCCAGGAACCCCTTGTTTTAATTTCTTTGAAAATAAGAAGAAAAAGAAACAATCTAGCCGGGATTATACTTGTCATTTTATCAAAGCAATCAAAGGAGGAAGGGGCTCGAAAGGGCAAAATTATTTGTGCTGCAGCCCAGGACGCTCCAAGCCACCGTGGCTGGGGAGAAGAAGCTGTAGTTCAAGTTCATACCGAGGACCAGTTCGGGCAACTTCGGCTCCTGGAGGCTGAGGGGCCCTCAGCCCAAGGACAGACCCTGGGCTTCAGTAGTAAAGCAGCACTGTAGATGAGGAGGTGAGACGTCCAAGGCCCTGGCCGGACATGCCGGGCCCATCAGGGTGACTCTGACAAAGTGGAGGTCACCTCTGGGCTGTGATCGTTGCAGTCTCTGCTCACTGAGTGCCAAGCGTCGGCAGGGCTCCCTGCCTGCATCACTCTGTGGCATCCTCGTCACTCCTGAGATGTTGTGCCCATTTTACAGGTAAGGAGATGGAGGTGGAGAGAACCAGTCACAAAGTGGCTGAGCCAGGACTAAGAGTCCAGCCTGCTTCGTGCCTGGGGCACCAGCTAAAGGAACTAGGGTACTCCCCCAGGGACGCGGGGGGCAGGACTATTGTGTGCTGGGGGGGGGCTTGTTCAGGGCTTCCCCTCTCTGAAGTCGGTCCATGTTGCCCCATTTTATAGATGGGAAAGGTAAGGCTCAAGAAGAGAAGCGACCTGCCAGCTGGGCGGGTCGCCGAGGGAAGGACCAGGCAGAGGCCGAGGCAGAGAGAGGCGTGCCCCGCTGGCGGGAAGGAGGCAAGGAGTGAGCTCTCCGGCGGTTTCCAGCGAAGCGGGGCGGGGCCGGGGCGGGGCCTCGCGACCCGGGCGGGGCGAGCGGGGGACCTGGGCCACCACCTCCCGCCGCGCAGTGCCTTCCCGGAGCGCGTCCTCGCCGCTGGTGAGTGGGGCCCGGGCGCCCGGGGGGCAGCGGGCAGGGCGGCCTGGCGCAGGTGCGACCCCCGACGGCGCCCGGCAGCCTGCGCGGGGCCCGAGGGCGAACCGAGGCGGGAGGTGGCGGGCGGGAGCTGCGGGGCGGGGAGCCCAGGGGGCGGCCGTGGGGCCGCGCTCGGGGCTCAGCTGCCGGGTCAGCGGGCCGGGCCCTGGCCTCCGCGGTCGGGGCTGCAGTGCGGCGGGATTTCGGGGGGCGAGCGGGAGACGCAGGGGGAACTAGGGCGGCCTGGCCCCGGCCCGGCCCTCCTCGCCCCGCCCCGCCCTCGCCCCGCCCCGCCCTCGCCCCGCCCCGCCCTCGCCCCGCCCCTCGCCCCGCCCCGCCGCTCGGGTCTGGAGTGAAGCGGGGCCCCGGGAGCCGGGACCGGACGCTCCGGCTCCCGCCCCTTCCGCGGATGTGGAAGCCGGGGCGGGGCTGGGGGGCGGACGAGAGTGGCTGAGCGGGGTACCGTGAGGACCACCAAATGCCCGAGAGACCTCAGGCTGCTGACCGACTTGAGACACTCCATTTCTAGGGGAGGAAACCCAGGCCGCAGGGGGAGGTTATTTGCGCACAGCCAGTTAAGGCCCCGAGGGGGGCATCGCCTGGGACCTGCCTGTCCCCTACCCTTCCTGCAAAGGAGCTCGGAGCCCCGGGGGTGGTAGGGGTGGTGGGGTCTCCGGCTGTGAACACACTGCCGAGTTCTGGGGTCCGGCGAGTTCTGGGGTCCGCCCTGCTGGCCGGGCCTGGCCTGCTAGTGCACGGTGGTACCTGGTGCCCCGTGTGCTCTAATAAGGTGGATGGCAGGAGGGGCCGGGCTTGGGCCTGCTCTAGGGGCAGTGGACTGACGCTGTTCCCAATGGGCCATGGGGCTAGGAGAGGGTCAGGGGAGGCTGTGCCCGAGAAGGGTGCCAGGCTGCCTGGCACACGGTAGGCTGTTGACCGAAAGGCCTAGATGGCAAAATGTGGGCGTCGAGCCTCTGGCGCCTCTGTGGGGTGAAGTGGGGGGCCCTGCAGGGTGGCGGGGGCGATGTCTGCTCGTGGAGCAATGGTATTTGTCCAGTGGCCTTGAAAGGAACCAGGGAGCAGGGGGTGGGGGATAGGAAGCCTCTTCCTGGAGCTGGGGGAGTGGGCTGCCTCTTTTTTTTTTTTTTTTTTTTATTTATTTCTAGGAGAGAGAGAGAGAGAGAGACAGCGTGAGCAGGGGAGGGTCAGAGAGAGAGGGAGTCACAGACTGAAACAGGCTCCAGGCTCTGAGCCGGCAGTCAGCACAGAGCCCGACGCGGGGCTCGAACCCACGAACCGCGAGATCATGACCCAAGCGAAAGTCGGACGCTTAACCGACTAAGCCACCCAGGCGCCCCTGCCTCTTGCTGCTTCTAGACAGCTGCTCGGCACACCCAAAGGGAGGCTCTGAGGGAATCCTTGGAACGGAGGGAAACTGAGGCTCACCCAGGGGCCCTTTACGGGGTCATACAGTGACAGCAGGTGGAGCCAGGGTTTGCACCAGTGTGGTTCAAAGCCTTGCTTCCTCTACCGTGCTCAAAAGGCTACTTTCTCTGCCTGCTCTCTGTGTGTGTGTGTGTGTGTGTGCGCGCATCCACGAGGTACACATTTGTGCCTGGCACTGACTGAATAATAGCTGTCTGTCTCTGCCAGAAACCGTTGACAGTGGGTTCCTTAGGGTGGGGTGAGGGGCTTGGGCCTTCTTTTTACTATATACACGTTTGCTCTTTCAGTATTTTATTTTTGAATCTGTTTCCCTCTCTTTTTAAAAAAAGTTTATTTTGAGAGAGAGGGAGCGAGAGTGGGAGAGAAGGGGGCAGAGGGAGAGGGAGAGAATCCTAAGTAGGCTCCACATCCAGCGTGGAGCCCCACGCCAGGCTTGATCCCAGGACCCTGGGATTCTGACCCGAGCCAAAATCAAGAGTCAGATGCTTAACCCACGGAGCCACCTAGGTGCCCTTATTTGTACTTTTTTTCTTTTCTTTTCTTTTCTTTTCTTTTCTTTTCTTTTCTTTTCTTTTCTTTTCTTTTCTTTTCCTTTTTTCTTTTCTTTTCCTTTTTCTTTTACTTATTTTTGATTATGCAAGCCATGCCTGAATAGGCTCTTTGTGTTTAAAAAAGTAGTCATACTCCATAAAGCACATCCCCCCTGGCCGCCCAGCCCCCCCCGCCCCGCCCTCCCGGGTTACCGGTGACATGTGGATGCTTCCTGACCTGTGGTCTGCTATGCTGGGTCCTTTCATAATGAAGAAGATTCACAAAGCTTATAAATGAGGAGGATTAGCTGGGAGTCATTTAAAAGTAGCAAGGGTCTTCTGTGTCTCCCTCTCTCTCGGCCCCTTGCCTGTTCGCACTCTGTCTCTGTCTCTCTCTCTCAAAAATAAATAAGCATGAAACAAAAATTTTAAAAAAGTAGAAAGGAGCTTTAAAACAAGTCCCTGGAGAGCAGTGGCTTCAGTGAGAGATAAAGGTAGAGCTGAGAAGGTGGGGGTGGGAGTCAGAGACAAAACTTTGTTTGGGGAGCAGTTTCTGCCACCCCCACGGAGGGCCCCCTGAGACTCACTAGCTCAGCCCCCACTTCACAGATGGGGACACAGAGGTCTGGGAGGTGAGATCTTAGGGCCAGAAGTGGGTCTGGTCTCTGGGCCAGGAGCGAAGCATCTCAAGGACAGGGCCTGATTCCCACCCTGAGGGGAAATCCTGTAAGTGACGGAGGTCCTGGGCGGAGGAGGGGTCTGGGGACTGGACACTGGGGCTGGGGCTGGAGAGAGTGAGCCTGTGGACCCAACGGAATGTTCCGACACTGGGCAGAGGGTGGGGCCACTGAGACCAGCAGACTCCCAGCTCGGGTGGGGGTGCTCTGGGCCTCAGAGTCACACAGACCTGGAAAATTCTGCTCCCTGTGCCTCAGTTTCCTCATCTGGACGGTGGGAATAATCACATCCACCATGGAGGCCAGGAGGGTGTGGCTCAGGATCCTCAGAAGAGAAGTGGCTGGTGGCCCCCCCCTGCGCCCCCCTCCCCCAGCAGCCACTGTGAAGAATAAGTGAAGTAATGACCTTGAGCCTAAGCCTGGTCCACAGCTTGCCATCTGCCAAGCACCGCCCCCGATGCTCATTCCCCAGAGGCCTAGAACTTTCTCCGGACTCAGACAAAGGGCAGGTCCTGAGCCCTTTGCACTGGAAGTGCTCCTCTGAGCGGCCCCCGGCCACAGTGGAAACATCTGTGAGGCATCTTGCCCCACTTGGCACCCAGGGCCTGTAGGGCCGATGCTTTCTCAGCCTTGGGTCTATGCCATGGGGCCATTTCTGCCTCCAGTGGCCCCAGCACTGGCAGCCACAGTGCCTCACCCATCTGGCCCTCACTTGAGCCTTCCATGACCCCATGAAGCAGGCAGGGCAGGTTTTCTACCCAGCTGGTGTAAGGGAAACTGAGGCCCAGAGAAGAGCTTTGGCCTAGGATTACAAAGCAACCTGGAGACAAGCCAACATGTGGGTTCTTAGTCACCTTCTGACAGACGGGGAAATAGAGGATATGAGGGTGGCTTTGCCCTCTGTCTCAATCCTCAGCCCTGGAGCCCTTTCCCAGCCCAGGGTGCTCCCTGACCTTCCCCAGCCCTCCCTGGGACCCCATCCCAGCGCAGATCTCTCTCAGACCTGCCAGAGTCAGCCCAGCCCAGTCCAGCTGAGCGTGACTCAGCCTGGTGGGCCCCCCAGTTGGGTGACTCAAGAGCTGAGCAGTCCCCAAGAGGCCACAGGAAACTCCCTGCCCGGGCTCTCTGGGCGTGGGAGGCATCTGGCCTTTCTGCGTCTGACCTTCGGGGCGGAGGAACTCTCTGATCCCCTAGGCCCAGTGAAGCGTAAACACAGCCTGGCTCTGGAAGGGGCAGCCGGGGGCGGGGGGCAGGAATACAGGCTCAGACCCTCCTCGGTCCCTGAAGCCTTAGGGAAGCCACCACCCTCTTGTGGGCTTCGGTTTGTCCCGTACCGCGGGGCCTTGGTTGGTGGGCTGGGGGCCCTGCTCAGCTGGCACTGTGAGCGAGTCCTGTGTGGGATTTCCCGGGCACCGGCTGGTTGCTATAGCAGGGTGACCTGGGCGTCCCTGCCCACAGCACCTTGGGGAGGAGGATGGACACAGGCGGCAGAGTGAGCACACCTCAGAAACATCCTGCTCAGGGCAAAGAAGCCCTGTGTACGGTGTATCGTATCACCATTTACGTGTAATGTCCAGGAAGGGTAAATCCACAGAGACGGAGGGCTGGCTACCAGGGGCTGGGGGAGGCAGGAACAGTGAGTGTCCGGGGGTTCATTCAGGGCGATGTACGAAAACGTTTGGTGATTGCACGACATTGGGAGCCTACTAAGTGTCACTGAATTGCGCACTTTAAGTGGTTACTTTTACGTTATGCAAATTTCACCTCGATTGAAAAAAATAAAAAGTAGGGGGAAAAAAGAACTCAGGACCCGGGACACTGATAGTCCCAGAGCAGCAGTGCTGTGGTGCAAGTGGGGGCTCGGAGGGTCCTGGTGGCACTTGCAGCGGAGTCTGGGGTCTGGGCTCGGGGCCTGATGCAGTAACAGATGCTGAGCGTAATTAACAGATACTGAGCATAAGTAACAGATACTGAGCGTAATTAACAGATACTGAGGGTAATTAGCACGGACAGTGCAAGCTGTTATCCACACCAGGATACTCCCTATTTAACCTATTTGTAACTAATTTGGGACTTACAGAAAAGTTGTAAGCATAGTAGCAAGGTCCCCACATAGCCTCCACCCAGCTGGGAAGTCACAGTGGTGTGGCGCTCACGACCACAGACCCCAGGTTTCCCACAGACCGTTGAGTGGACCCCGGGACCCTGCCAAATACTGCCACTTTGCTGTGGATCAGGCATACTTATTAGGCAGGCTGGGCTGTGTCCCCATTGCACAGATGAGGAAGCAGCTGAGGAGGCCTGAGGGAAGCCCAGCTGGGTGGCTGGGTCCCAGGGCTCTGCGTCCGGAGCTCCACACTCACCCGGCAGGAAGGAGCACGGGGCCGGGTCCTCTCTGTCGTGGTGACAGACCCTCGTGCTCACTTGTTCTGTGCTCCCTGGAGACCAGAGGGCGGCGCAGGGGGGCGGGGGAGGGAGGGACACAGGATCATCTACTGTTGAGTCCCTGTGTCACCTGCCCAGCCCTCCGCAGTGTTCATCCCCACAGTTCATGTGTGCAGTGACCTTGGGGGCTGGGGTGGGGTGGGGGCTGTCCCAATTCCTCAGGTGAGAGAATAGGCCCCGGGAGGGAGGAATCAGCCAGTTACTAGATGGAATCTGCTAGCACTCTCTCGATAGTTCTGTTTAAAATGACCTTCATTGTAGATATTTTGGAAAACAATAAAACGTCGTAAATCCTGCTGCCAAGCGCAGTCTGGAATCCCCAGCTGCCCGCTTGCAGACGGGGCCCGGGCCGACGCCCACCCTGCTCCATGCCTCCCATCTTCCACTGGCAGATGGGACAAGGTGGCACAGGGTAAGGACTCAGGGTGGTGGGCAGTCAGCCTTTCCCCAGCAGCATTAGCTTTCAGATTATGACAGTTGCTAACGTCTTCGTGAATCTGTTACAGTTTTTATTTTTATGTTTTATTATTTTTTTAATAATAAAAAAAGGAGATAGCATGAGCAGGGGAGGGGCAGAGAGAGAGGTAGAGAGAATCGTAAGCAGGCTCTGCATTGTCAGGCATAGAGCCCGATGTGGGGCTCGAACCCACCAACCATGAGATCATGCCCTGAGCTGAAATCAAGAGTTGGGCGCTTAACTGACTGAGCCACCCAGGAGCCCCAAATTTGTTACAGTTAAAAAAAATTTTCAGTGTTTATTTATTCTTAAAAACAAAATTTTTAAAAATATTTATTTTTGAGAGAGAGAGGCAGAACATGAACGGGTGAAGGGAAGAGAGGGAGACAGAATCTGAAGCAGGCTCTAGGCTCTGAGCTGTCAGCACAGAGCCTGACGTGGGGCTCAAACTCATGAGATCATGACCTGAGCTCAAGTCAGACGCTTAACCAACTGAGCCACCCAGGAGCCCCTGTTACAGATATCTGTGTTATCTCATGTTTTTTAAAAATTTTTAATGTTTTATTTATTTCTGAGAGAGAGAGCGAGAGACAGCATGAGCAGGGGAGGGTCAGAGAGAGAGGGAGACACAGAATCCGAAACAGGCTCCAGGCTCTGAGCTGGCAGTCAGCACAGAGCCCGATGCGGGGCTCGAACCCACCAACCTCGAGATCATGACCTGAGACGAAGTCAGACCCTCAACGGACTGAACCACCCAGGCGCCTCTTATCTTGTTTTTTTTTTTTTTTTTTTTTTTAATTGAGATCAATCTGTGGTCAATTTTATATTCTTCTCTCCTCACTTATGTCATGTTGAGAACAATTTCACATTATTAGAGTCCTCAACAGCTGGATTTGGGGGTTGACCAGGGCTGATGGCCCCCAGTTGCTGGGCACTAAAGTTGCTTCGTGGACCCCCAGGCCAGCAGCTGCCACCTCTCCCCAGGGCAGCCTTGAGCCGCTGCTCTGAAGCCCCGATGGCTCCCCATTGCCTCCAGAGCGAGCAGGCCCCTTCCCTGCGTCTGCCCCCCTGCAGCCCTCTCTCCCAGCCCATGCCCGTCATTCTCTTCACCTGGATGCCCCGCCCCCGGGCCCCTGTTCAGGAAGGGCTCACTGTGCCGCCCCAACCCCCCCAACCCAAGACCATCTTTTCCTTGATGGGAAAGATCCCGGGTCAGGATCTGGATCCCAGGTCAGGGGTCCCCTTTCTGACAGGTCTGTGCACCTCTCAGGACCCCCCCCATGTCTACCCTGGGCCCTGGTCCCCCCTTCTCCCCCACCCGGAGGCCATGCTGCAAATTTGCTGACCTGAATCTGGGCAGTTAACTTATCTCATGCAGATAAGTACCTCCAGATTCTCCAGTCAGGATCAGACTTTGTCGATGGGAGCCCAGCCTCCTCATTTTATGATGGGATGACCGAGGCCCAGTCAGGCTGCTCACAGGCTTCAAGTCCCACAGCAGGTCCAGTCAGAGCTGGCCTGAGATGCCCAGCCTGGGGTCCCTCTTGCTGTTACTCTGGACTCTCAGTGGGCAGTTCAGTCTGCTGAGAGTCTCACTGGCTGCTGGGCGCCTAGTAGGTCCTCAGAGCAGACCTCGGGGCCGCTGGGGAAGGGGGCACAAACCTGTGGCAGCAGGCAGGCCTGACGCGGGGGCCTTCCTTGCCCTGAGCCCTGCTGGCTTCTCAGGGCCGCCGAGGGGACCTCACCAGCCTTGAACTCTTGCTAACTCCTGTTCTTTCCCACCCGCCACCTCGGTGAGCCGGGGCGTCACAGAAGCAGCAGCTTTTGGACTGGGCAGAGCCCGGCCCCAGAGTGCTGTGGCCCCAGAGTGCTGTGTGACTCCAGGCGGGCTGCTTTCCCTCTCTGGCACACAGGGCAGGGATGGTGATTTTAGGGTGGGCCTGCAGGGTGGTGGTAAAATACCGGTGTTCCGGGATACTTCTCCCCCTGGGCCCGGCCTGGGTAGGCAGTGCTGACACCCCATTCTACAGAGGGCAATACTGAGGCCCAGAGAGTTGAAGTGATTTGCCTGAGGTCACAGTGAGTCTGTGGAGAGCCAGGATTTGAGCCAAGCTCTGTGTGATACCAGTGAGTGAGTGAATGAATGAATGAATGAATGGTGAGAGAATGAATGAATGAGAAGTACTAGAACATAAAGTACAGGGTGTGGACTGGTTCAGGCTTTCCAGAGCATCGGGCTGTCAACTGGCCTGGGGAGGAAGGGCTGGGAAGACTTCTTGGTGGAGGGGACACAAACCGGTCTTGAATCAAACTCGACAGGAGCCCCAAGGCCAAGGGTGAGGGTAAGACAGAGGACAGGACCCTGGCAGCTGGGGCAAGCGCTGAGGTTAGGGCCACCTTTGGGCCAGGGGCGCCCTGAGGCTCCTGCAAGTCAGGGCAGCCTTCTGGGTTGGGGGGCAGGAGTTTGGGTGGAGGTGTGTTCCCTGGGGCCAGTGCACCGGGCTGGCAGGGGCTGCCGGTGTGAGCCTCGCCCCTCCCCGCCCAGTGCTTGGGGAAGCCTCACCCCAGTTCTGGAGTGCTCCCCCGCCCCTCACCCCGCCCCTCTCTTCTCTTTCAGAACTTTCCAGAACAGCAGCCGCAGTAGCAGCAATGGCTCCGCCTTGGGTGCCCGCCGTGGGCTTCACCCTGGTGCCCAGCCTGGGGGGCTTCCTGGGCTCTTACTACATTCGCGGGGAGGGCCTCCGCTGGTACGCCAGCCTGCAGAAGCCCTCGTGGCATCCGCCCCACTGGACGCTGGGCCCCGTCTGGGGCACCCTGTACTCGGCCATGGGGTAGGTGGGCGGGGCCCCAGGCCGGAGCCTCTTCCCCGCCACGTGCTCCCGGGGCAGGGCAGCAGGCACCGTTTCCTGGCCTGGTCTGCCAAGAGGGGGTGGAGGCGCCTTCGGGACCTGTTGCGTGTACAACGGAACTTTCTTCTCCTGGGAGGGGCGGGCCGGATGGCGCAGCGTCGCACTGGCACCCTGGCTGTTTTTGCAACTCCGGGGGTGCGGGGGTGGGGGAGGAGGCTGGCTCAGACCTGGGCGGCTTCCAAGACCAATAGCGGCAGCAACAGTAACGGCAGTTCTCGTAGCTGCCGTTTGTTGAGCACCCGCTCCGCGCCAGGCTGTGTCTGGGTTAATTGGCAAGACCACCCATTTGACAAGGGGTCTGGAAAAGACACAGAGCTGGCAAGTAGGGGCCCTGCAGGAAACTCTGCGGCTGCAGGAGCTGGACAGGTGAGGGCGCCCCCTGGTGGCTCTCATGGGAACTGCAACCAGCGGATGAAGCCTGCTTCCTGTCCTCCTTCTGGAATGTTCCCTGCATCCTGAGTCTATGCCAGCCCAGTACAGGGTGGGGCTGCAGATGCCAGGAGCCCAGGGAGTAGGTAGCACACGCCAGGCTGGATGTCCCCCCCCACCCCCCGGGGCTCTGATGGGAATAAGACGCACACAAGTCTGTACAACCTGGGTGTCACGTGGGCACCACCCCCAGAGTCCCAGCCCCTCCTGTGTCCTGCTTTCTCCTCCCCGATCCGGGCCCCGGCACCAGGGTTTCCACCTCATCTTGCTTCGGCCTCCAGGCCGCCCACTCCTTCTTGGCCTCCCTCCACCAATGAGGTCCCGGGGAAGCACATAAATGTGACCTTGGTCTCTGTCGTGGGACCCTGCACAGGCTCCCCGTGACCCTGATGAGGTCAGATTCTCATGGACCAAAGAGTTCAGGCTCTGGCCCTGGCCACCCAGGGTTCAAATCCTGACTTTACCTACCGGTTGCCTGCTAAGAGGTCTTAAGAGAGTCCCTTCACCTCTTTGTGCCTCAGTTTCCTCACCTGTAAAAGGGGATGATAGTACTGCCCACCTCCGTTTACCATGAAGATGTAACGAGTTAATGTTGGAAAGATCCAGAGCAGTGCCTGCGTGCGTAAGAGCTGGAGGGCACTGGCTGCCCTGTGCCCGTCCCATCCCTGGCTGGGCCAGGCGCCTCTTTCTCCCTCGTGTGCCTCACGTGCTTTCCTCTTCAGAGCCTGATGATGATGATGGCAGATATTTATCGAGTGTCCCATGTGCCAGGCGCTGACTGAAGCACGGCCAGTGTGTTAACTCACATCCCTGCAGCAATCCTGTAGAGAGAATGAAGGCCCAGAGAAGTCAAGCAACTTCCCTGAGGTCACAAAGCAGCCGGGGCAGAGCATGCCTGAGCCGTCACTGTGTCATCATAAGTGCGTGAGGCTCCCTGTCCTGCAGACAGCTTTTCGGTCTCTTCCCTGCTGGTGCCCTGACCCGTGGCCTCTGTTTCAGGTATGGCTCTTACCTGGTCTGGAAAGAGCTGGGGGGCTTCTCGGAGGAGGCTGTGGTTCCCCTGGGGCTCTATGCCGGACAGCTGGCCTTGAACTGGGCATGGCCTCCACTCTTCTTTGGCACCCGACAAATGGGCTGGGTAAGTGTGGCCTTGGCCAGTCTTCTTGGTCCCCAGAGATGGCGTGTGGAGGAGTGGCCTTTCCGTGGGGGACATGGGGCATCCCCTCCTAGATGAGGTGGGGGTCTAAAGATGGTCAGCATCTCTCAGAAGCTTAAGGGGCCAGCGCCGTCCTGTGGAGCCTTCCTCGGCTGCTTCTCCTTCAGTGAAGGAAGCGCTACAGACTCTTGATGGATCCAGATGGCCTTGGGTGGGGGGCCATTGTGTAGGAAGACACCACACCTGGTGATGTGCACCCCTCATCCAGCATGGATCAGGCAGGGGTGGTCGTTCCCATTTTACAGATGGGAACACTGAGGCAGAGAGTGAGGGAGGGGCTTGGCTGGGTCACTTAGGGGTGGAATGGAGTGTTCCCCTGAGTGCCCCCTGCGAGCGCCCAGGGGGGACGCACATCTGATGGGCACGTGAGCCTCAGGCCTCCCTGTCCTCTCTGCCCCTGTGTCCCTGCAGGCCCTGGTGGACCTCCTGCTGACGGGTGGGCTGGCAGGAGCCACGGCTGTGGCCTGGCGTGGCGTGAGCCCCCTGGCCGCCCGCCTGCTCTACCCATACGTGGCCTGGCTGGCCTTTGCGGCCGCGCTCAACTACCGTGTGTGGCAAGACAACCATGGCCGGCGCAGTGGCCGAAGGCCCGCAGAGTGAGAGCGCCCCTCCTCCGAGGACTGTGGCCGCCCGCCGGTCAGGTGGTACCCGTGGTGGTGGCCCTAACCCTTCCGTGGCCACCAGGCCTGCAGGTGTCTCAGCCCGGGGGGGTCACCACCAGCTCCGGAAGTGCACCAGGCCGAGCTCCTGCCCCACGGATGGCGTCCTGCGCCTTCTGCCCCTGCTCCAAGCAAGCTCTCAGACACGAATGTCATAAGCCAAATAAAGTTTGTAGCCTCCTGGCCGTGGCCCTTTCACTTGCGCAGGGGCCGCGGGCGGGGGGGCGGGGCGGGGCCTCATCCTGTGGCTGGATCTGTCCAGCTGCACCATCCAGACGAGGCTGGACCGGATCAGCGCTCACCCACGCTCCTCGGGCCTCTCCCGGGACCGTCTGAGAGGCGGGGTGCCCTGCCCGGCCTGGGGCAGCCCAGGTTCACCCCGGAGCCCGCGCTGGCTGTGCCGCTGCTTGGCTGGCACGCAGCAGGCCCTGACCTCAGCCCTGCCCACTCTCTAAGCCCCCAGGAAGCTTGGCTGGGGACGTGGGTCCACAGTCGGCACCTCAGCGCCCTCAGCTGGCCTCGGCCAGGATGGGGCTGGGCCCAGAGCTGGGGACACCGCCCGATCTGTCCCTGGGGTGGGGGGACTCATGCCCACCTCACCCAACCCGGAGCAGCCTCACAAACACCAAATCGGCAGGAGGGCATGGCAGAGGCCGTAAGGCCCATGTCCCCACCCCGGAGATGGCAGTCCCTCACCGGCCTGGGCCTGCCCCGGTTTGGAGATGTCACCCTCAGCTTCGGGTGCTCAGAATCGGGTGCTCAGGGTCCTCTGCAGGCAGCTGCTGGGAGTCGGTGAGGCTGGCGGGCCCCCTCCCCAGGCGGGCTCCCCTGGGGTGGCCACGCTGCTTCCGCTACGAGCTCCCACATTCCGTGTGCGTCCTGCTTCTGCCGCGCGGCCGCCTGGCGCCTGTGACCTGCTGCGCCTCTTGCTGCCTGGTTTTGGTTGTCGCTCACTCAAAATTGGCAACACTCTGGTGTTTCGCGCTGCCATTTTGGCGGGCCAACTCCCCTCGTTCTTGCCCCACGTGCAAGACCCGCTTTACGACGTCAGGAAGGCTCTGGGAGAGACAGCTGACTGCGTTCTTCTGAGAGAAGGGGCGGCTGTCCTGCAGGGGCCATCACCTCGCTGCTTGCCCTGGACTCCCGCCGAATCCGATGCCCAACAGGTTATGCTCGCAGGAAGCTGCAGCCTGGCTGCCTGAGCACCGTGGCCAGCGCCCCCTGCTGGTTCCGGAGTCTCCGAGAGCAAGAGCAGAGCGGTCGGTCGGTGGACTCCTCGTGAGCCTCCTTATTATTATTTCCGACGTTCTCCACGAAGGTCAGGGGGCCCCTGGACCCCAGCCACCCCTGTGCCTGCCAGGTGTCCTGCACTGAGCCTTGTTTTTGTACTTAGCACTTAAGTGCACTTAAGTGGCAGTTCCTACTGCCACACGCCACGCCCGGCCACAAAAGTGCCTGGCAAAATGGACGAGAGGCAGATGCGCTTTGCCATCTTGTTTGCTGGCCTTCTTGTGATGCTGCCCCCACCCCACCCCATCTTCATAATTAGACAGCGCCCTCTCCCTTTCTGAGCTGTTGTCATCCACTAGGAGCATCAGAGTTCTGGCAGTTTCCACGTAGGTTTAGCAGGAAAATCCATTCTGCACGGATGGGTCAAGTCCTTCCGGTTTGTGCTCTTGGCTGCAGCTACTTGGTGCCATTGAAATCTTAAATCTGGGCATTTTCCTCCTTCTGCAGCTGACTGGCCATTAAGGACGCAAGGTAAGGCCGTTCCCACAGCCCAGGAGGGCTCGGCCGGCCGGCCCCAGGGGCACAGCCGTGACTGTGGGCGTGAGCCGAGCACTTGAATGTGTGGTCGGCCACTCTGAACCCGCAGGTGGAACTGCCTTGTCTCTGGTGCTGAGAGGGTCTCCCGCGTCGGTGCCAGTCCAGGAGAGAACCGCCGGGTCTCGGCGTGTTGCCGTGGCCGCGGAGCATCACGGAGGGCCTTTCTAAATGTCACTATGCACATCTTAACCTTCAAAGCTCCGTGGAATTTTGGTACAATCAATACCATGGCTGTGGCTCCCCAGTCAACTCGAGACGTCCCGTGCTTACAAATTGTACGTTTCGATGAGTTCTCAACACAAACAAAAGAACTCCCGTGAAGACAGTACTGGAGAGAAGCATTTCCAGGGATAAGAACCGTCTCCGTGGCAAGCGGCCGGGGCTCAGGGACGGGGGAGGCCCTGCTCCATGCCCTTCCTTGGGGTGGTCTGCGGTCCACCAATCGGAGACGTGAGGACAGCTGGAGTGGGCCCTCTGGTCCCAGCCATGCCTGCTCGGAACATCTGGGGTAATCAGGCTTTAAGTGGCCTGGGAATGAGCAGGGCTGCTACCCGTTAGGCATCTGGATGACCAGCCTGGTGTGAGAGCCCGTCCTGAGGGGCGCAGGACGCCCCTTGCAGCTTCCTGTCATCAGCTCCATCACCACCAGGGGGCGTCACTGTGCAGGCAGCGGGGCTCACAACCCCCCCCCCGCCCCCCTCCATCAGCTTGCTGGGCACTCCAGCCGTCCTAAGAGCAGTTGGGGTCTCCTCTCAGCCCCATCCTCAGGGTGAGGAAACGGGCAGACAGAGAACCCCGTTGCCTGAGGCCCCAGGAGCGCGGGCCGGAGCTGGGATTCAGGACCAGGCTCCTGGGTGATGCCTGGGATGCCGAGATGGGCCCCAGCTCCGCATCTGTCCCCACGGTGCTCCGCTCTGACGCAGAACCAGTGCTGGGAAATCCAACTTCGGGTTAGGAAGCTGCTGTGGTCTGAGGGTTCCCCCAAATTCCTGTGCTGAAATCCAGCCCCCACTGTGACGGTCACAGGAGGCGGGGCCTTCGCGAGGTCACTAGGTCACAAGGCGGAGCCCTCGTGAGTGGGAGCGGGGTCCTTACCAGAGACCCCACGGAGCCCCTTCCCACGTGTGAGGACACAGCGAGAAGATGACCCATGAACTAGGAGGGGCCCTATGACACCAAATCTGTGCCCGCTAAGCCGGGGCCACCCCAGCCTCCAGAGCCCTGAGGAGGAAAGTCCTGTGGCTTAAGCCCCCCAGTTGTGACGCTTCGTCCCGGCAGCCCAGACGGACCAAGACGGGGACCTGAAAGCCTAAACATGATCTCGTTTCTCAAAGCAGGTGTCTTGATGTTTTGGTTGCTTCCACAGCCAACCCGGCCAACAGCTGGCATGCCGTGCCAGCGCTGTGGTCCCGGGTCCCCCGAGAGAGGGCAGCCAGGGCAAGGAGGGCAGACTTCCCTGAACGGATCGAGTCAAGGAGAGGACGGGATGCTGGCGGCTCCCCGGGGAGAACACCCGACACGAGGTGTCCAGTGCTGACACCCGTACGTGGCTGGAGGGAAGGGGCGTCCCCCTCGCCGACGGGCTGAGGTCCTGGGTGACGGAGACGGACGGACACAGCCCAGCAGACGCACAGCTGGGGGCACAGTCCAGTCCAGTTGTGCGCCCGGGGTCCCTCTTGGCTTCAAAATGAAACCAGCCCCCCCCCACAGGCCCCCCCGGAAGGCTCTGCAGGCGGCTCTCCCTCCCCCCACTCCGGAGGCGGACTCGCCCCCACCGTTAGCAGGGCCTGGGTGCACCGCGGCGACACGAGACACGCGGACATCTGATTCCGGGTTTCAGAAACCAAATCGTGGAAAGGAAAAGAAGTTTCTATTTACTTCCGTAAATGAAAAACTAACAAAAACCTAACACTTTGACTCTAGACTCCGGGGGAAGACGACACCTGACGGTGACACGAAGTTCTCCCTGCGGTCGTCTTTCTTGGCCGCCCGCCGCCTGGTGCCCTGCCGCCCACACCGGTCCCCGAGGCCCCTCGTCAGGGCATCCCAGCCCACGTTGGGCGAGGGGGGCGCCGCGGTGCCCGGTGAGGCCTGCGGGGGGCCCGGAGGCGAGGAGGACGGCTTCGGCCAAGTGGAAAGGCAAGAGCGACCACAGGCGGCGGCCCGGGCAGCTGCTGGTAAGGGTTTTGGTCGAGGGTGGGGAGCAAGAAGGTTGGTTCCCAGGTGTTTTGGGGACACAGGGGTGCAGTGTGGGACCCCGACGCCCTGCCCTGGGGAGCCATGACGCACAAGCAGCATCTGGAGAAGAGGGGGCCTGGCCCCTGGGCTCCACAGCTGTTGCCATGGAAACCTGTCCATGCGGACGCCTCGCCTCGCTCGCTCCCTGGAACCCGCCTTCCGCTAACACCCTAGGAACACAGCAGCCCAGGAACCAAACTCTTTGGAAAAGCCTCTGGCTGAGCAGAGACGGCAGCGAGGGGAGTGCGCACGGGGGGCCTGGCGCTCGGCCCCAGGGGACACCGTCAGGAGGCAGAGGAGGACCCTGGCCCCAGAGGCAGTGCTGGGACCACAGCTCAGAGGCGAGGCTGGTCCCAGGGAGGAAGGGGAGGCTCTGGCAGAAGCAGCTCGGGCAGCTGAGGCTGGAAGCGGCTGGCGAGCACCAGCAGAAGGGCCCGCGGGCTCCTAGGCCAGGCGGGTGACGTGGCAGCAGCTGGGCTCGTCCAGGTACAGGGTGCTGAAGACGTCGTTGAAGAAGGTCGGGTGGTACCTGCAGGCTCGCTCACAGTCCGGGTTGAAGTTCACCTCCAGGATCTGGGGCTGCATCACCCGGGTCCCTGACGGCACAAGGGCACAGGGCATCTCACTCCCGGGAGGGCGGGCTGGGGGCCCGCGGGCTGGGGCTCGGGGGGAGGCCTGCTCGGGGAGGGGGCCGGGAGCCTGCACACACCACTGGGAGGCTCGGTTGGTGGGAAAGGAAGCAGAGACTCAGGCCTGGTGGGGGGGGTGGGGGGGATGTGGGGGAGGGGCTGGGCCGTGGCCCCTGGACCTTCGGGCAGCTGGCAGGGGGCACAAGGGCCCTTTCCTTCCGGACACCGTAGCCCACTGCCCTCCCGCCTGCGCTCTGCCCTGGAGGCCGTCACCCCTGCATGGTGCACCTCCCAGACCAGACCTCCCTGCGAACGTGAGGCCAAGGACAGCCTGAGGAGCACCGACCGGGGTGGGGGGGGATAGGGGGAGGGAAGCAGGGCTGGATGATCGGCTTTGGCTAAGTGGAGAGGGCGTGGTTGGGATTACAGCGCAGGGGGGGCCCTCACCATCTGGACGGTCTTCCCACTTAAGCATGAGGTCGATGGCAT